CCTGGGCCCAAATGTTCCACCTCAAACCCCCCTAGCTGTCACTTCTTCGGCGTCAGAATCTCCTCGATCACGACTGCTCCTAGAACCAACTCACCCTACCCAGACCCCACACCTCCCACCGCATGTCTGGACTGCCAGATCCCAACGATCCCGTCTCCGTCGCTGCTTGGAACAGAGCAGCTGCCAGTCTCGTTCGCGAGACGCGCCAGAGAATCATGGTTCGTCAGCTTTGACATCATGGGCGATGCCTCGGCATTTGCTAAGACGTCCGTTCTTCAGACTTCGTCAGCGTCAACAGCTACGCCAATGAAGCACTCGTTTGAGGAGCGCGTCGATGACGTGAAGTCGCCTAAGAGGTTTGTGCCCTCTCCTCTTCTGCTCCAGCCTTCCCCATCCACCACCAACACCAAAATGATGAACAACTATCACAATGGGAATCTCTCCTAGCAATTCCGTGCGGAGAAAGTCGATATAAATTTTGCCTGAACCTATTTTGTCTCGTCTCATGCCTCTACGACACGTAACTGGTTTCAACATCATGCTGACTTGGCTTTCCCCAGCGACATTAACTCACTCATCTTCGATTACCTGATGATGGAAGGCTACCCTAATGCTGCGGCAAAGTTCAGCAAGGAGGCCAATCTCCAGCCACATCAGGCCGACGACACGATCCAACTGCGACAGCAGATCCAGCACTCTATCCATATCGGTAGCGTGCAGTCAGCGATAGAGGCCTTGAATGATCTCGATCCTGAGGTAAGACGCTCTCCTCCTTTCCTCTGTCTTGCTATGATTAGAACACGAGTTTTACATGCACCACTCATATGATCTTCGGATCGTGATGAGAAACAACCACTTTTTACTGAGCAAACACCTCATTTCTTCGTTTTTAAGTACCCGCTGAGAGGACTGGATCTAACAAATTCGTCAGATACTGGATCGCGACCCTACCCTGCACTTCGCGCTGTTACGTCTGCAGTTGGTTGAGCGCATCCGCTCCTCCACCGCATCGTCGGACGAAATTGCTACGCTCGAGTTCGCCCAGACCCATCTGGCCCCTCGTGCTGTGACTGATCCTCGATTTCTCAACGATCTCGAAGAGACCATGGCCTTGCTAGTAGTGCCGCGTACTAGCCTGGAGCCCCAGCAAGCCGCCATCCTTCATCCTGATCTGAGGAGGGAAGTCGCGGACAACGTCAACAAGGCTGTTCTTCAGCGCATGTCTGAGCGTCGAGAAGCGTCCATTCGCGAGCTCGTGAGGATGAGAGCCTGGGCGGAGCAGACTGCCCGTGCCAGCAAGAAGTCCCTCCCTGAGAGGTTGGACATCGGCCTGAACCGCCCTGATGAGGGACACGAGTCTATGCTCATCACCTAAAGAGTCAAACCTTTGCATGCTAGGGGTCATCCCACATTGCGGGAACCGACGTTGCCAGCCCCCAAGTAATTGTGCAAACGTCCTGAGGACTTGGCGGAATGGAGCGAATTAGACTTGACAGAGCTCGATACACTCTATCATCAATGATACCAAATCAACTACTTTTGACACAAGATATCTGTGGCGAACCATTGTTGTGATGCTGCTTGTTTTGGGGCCTTGCGTGTAAAATGAATCCAATCGCTGTACTAGAGCAGCTTCCTAGGCATTCAAGACAGTAACCTTCATCTCGTGACGCGCTGCCGCCTGTTGCCGTCTGTGCCCAATCCATCGCCAATCGTCTGTATCGCTAACTCCGCCTGCTTCTTCTTGAATACGTGGTTCAGCCGCAAGGTCTGAA